CCGAGGCAACCGGTATATTCTCGTGGCGGTGGAGTATTTCATGCGCTATCCAGTGGCAGTGGCCATCGTCGATAAAACGGCCCTTGTGGTCGCCCGGGCATTTGTGGAGCATTACGTGCTTAAACATGGAATCCCTGATCGAGTCATTACTGACCAGGGTAGTGAGTTCGAGGCAGAGCTATTTCAGGCGCTGTGCCGGGAGTTCGGAATCCAGAAGGACCGAACTACGGTATACCACCCCCAGGCGAATTGTATGGTGGAGCATATGAACCAGACCTTAGCCAGGAAGCTCAAACGTATGGTGGATGCCAATCAACAGGATTGGGACGAACACCTCCCCTATGCCCTGTTCGCCTACGCCACCACAGTACACACATCAACGGGACAGACCCTGTTCCTAATGATGTTTGGTCGTGAGTCTCGCCTCCCAGCAGATCCATTGTTCGGCATTCCCCCGCCGCAACCGGAGGAAGCGAGCCAGCCCATAGAGCACCTGATGGTGACCCTGTGAGGGGCACGTAGCCAGGCCTACCTGAATGCTTCGCACCGTATATGGGCCTTGTTGGGCCCCAGTTCCCAGCGGGCCCCGGACCGACAAGGAGGCGACAGGCGCAGCGGCCCCTAAACCCCTCTGCCCCTGAGTTTGTTCCTCAGCCAGCGGACACCGGAGGGCAGGAAGGGCCTCTGGAATGGAGACGGAGACCACCGCCGGAGCCTTGAGCAGCTGAGCCACCGCCCACAAAACCGACAATGAGGGCCGGGCGAGTCCCGTGGACTCCGCGGTGCTACCTGGTGGGAGCGGCCCAGGTGAGGTGCTCCAGTCAACCCGGAACGGGGACGGGCACCTCTGTTGTATATGTGGGTTTTGGGTGATTTGCTAGTGACTGGTCACAGAAATGACTACACATCTGAGCTATTCACAGTACTATATAGTGAACCAATAAAAACTAAAATATAAATTACCTTCATGTTATCAATAAACTCTATATTCTCCAATCAGCTAAGCTACCAACCATAAGTCGTTATATATCACAATGCTATATGGCGAAAAAATGGGTGGATTCTTACCCTCTGTTCCGACCATGGACGAACTCGTCCGTCTGAACGGGGCCCGTAGCTATCCGTGGTACGGAAATTTGAGGGTAAGAATCCACCCATTTTTTCGCCATATAGCATTGTGATATATAACGACTTATGGTTGGTAGCTTAGCTGATTGGAGAATATAGAGTTTATTGATAACATGAAGGTAATTTATATTTTAGTTTTTATTGGTTCACTATATAGTACTGTGAATAGCTCAGATGTGTAGTCATTTCTGTGACCAGTCACTAGCAAATCACCCAGTTATTTCAATGCTAAATTCGCCTAGTTATTTCAATGCTAAATTCTCCTGTTTGATTTGTACTAAGTGCCTCGGTGAATGTGTATGCTCTGACTTCAACGTAACTATTTCTGTAGCAGTTACAAGCGAATCACTCAGCCATTTCAATGCTAAATTCTATGCTAATCCCATTGTCAAGGGGTGCCTCTGCGGATGTGTATGCCTTAACTTAGCTATTTCAATGCTAAATTCTATGCTAATTCCTTTCAACAATGGGTGCCTCTGCGGATGTGTATGCTTTAACTTTTAACATAGCTATTTCTGTGACCAGTCACAAGCTAATCATTCAGCCATTTCAATGCTAAATTTTATGCTAATTCCTTCGTCAAGGCTCTTTGTTCCTCTCACACAGCTTAAAAGCCGTGATCTGAACGTGGCTCTCTCACTCCAGCGCTGTCCTACCAGACAGTCTCGCCCCCTTCACCTGATGAAGGCCGCTTGTGTTGTGGCCGAAACGTCGTGAGAATATTATTGTGTTATTTTATTTTATCAATTTATTATTTTATTCTCATTCTATGTGACTTTACCGAAAGAACCAAAGAAGACGAATCATTGCAGTCACGAAAGCTTTAAATCGAAATTTAATTTATTTTTAATTATACCTTAACTCTAAAAGATACAACTCTCGGCTTGGAATTACAACACAGTATCAACACAGTCTCATCAATGACTGGGTTGTTTCACTTTGACAACAGCACCTGTGGTTAATTCCGCCACGTAACGCTAGCTCGGTTGGTGAGAGAGAGTCGTTAAAACATGCATATGCTAATCTAAATAAAAACCTTAACTTTATAATAAATGATTATACTTGAATTGTTCACGCAGTACCGCACTCATTATTGATCATATGCAACTCTTATCACATTGTTAGCACATTGGGTCACGGAACGGTAGAGTATTCTGTAGAGTACGCGAGTACGTGCGGCGATCAGTAACGAAAGGTACTTAAAGATTATATGACGATATTCATACGAAAAGGCGATCAAAACAGTTATTATTCCCAAAGGCACAAATATATCAACAGATCCATCGGACAGATTATATGATTACTGAAATGGCTTAGAGTGAGGGTGTGCGGTGGGGAGCGCTCTCTCCCCTGATATCCTTATCTTGGGCCAACGTTTAATTAATTATGGACCAGTTTGCCTGATAAGGAAGCCGGTTGGATACGCTATTTCCCCCACGTGAGCGTAGCTCCGTGGCGAAGGGGTCAAGGATTAATTCGTATTGATGGATCGGTTGGTAATTTATGCGATTAGAAGTACAGCCCAAAACAAAATATTAAGGAGGAAAATTATGAATATACTTATAAACGACGGACTGTTATCACCCGATCTGTAGCGATGCTTCCACGGCCACAGATGGTTCACGTTTTGGGATTGGCTTTTGATTACTGACTCGTGTATGGTGAGGGATATAAATTGTGTTGAATAGTCAGTGTTCGGAGTTGATTCTTTGCGTTAAACAGACGCCTGGTTTGTCGTGTGGTGGGGGGCAGTGCGCGTCATACGTATCAGTCGATTCTTCTGTCACCGTGGTTGATTCGGTTCGGCTGACGTAGGTTGGCGAGCCGACACACTGTTGTAGTTGTGATGGCCCGTCGGTAGATGGTGCACACAGCTCGCTTGTAGCGTGCGCGGTGGTGCCGTCGGCTTGGCGGCTTGCCCACGTTCCGCTCTTAGCGGGCACGGTTGTATGATCGGTAGATGGCGCTCGTCTGCTGGTCGCTGGCACGGTCGTATCGCTGAGTGTTGACCACCGGTTGCGCTATCGGGCACTGGTGATACACGTTCATTGCGATGCTACTTTTGATGGTGCCGACTCGCACTGTGTAGCCCCATCGCTAAACAGCGAGTCTCGCCATTCTGGCGGCCGGCAGGGACCTCCTCTGCGTCGGCGGCGGCCGATCTCCTGCAGGGATGAGTTGAGCTGGCAAGCTGATGAGCTCCCTTGATGAGCTGAGTTGAGCTGGCAAGCGGGTCTTGCCCGCTTGCTGGTGAGCTGAGCTCCCCCTGCGAGCTCCCCCGATGAGCTGAGCTCTGAGCTGGCAGGCGGGTCTTGGCCGCTTGCTGGTGAGCTCCTGGCTGATGAGCTGAGGTTTCAATGTTGTAGTGTCCTCTTTTATGCCAAAATCCCTCCTCTTGGCTCCTCCCCACAAGGCGGTGCTTCTTTTGATTTAGCTGTGTATCGTGGTCTAGAGTGTGTGTCCGTATGTGCGTCCGTTCGTATGTGTGTCCTTGTGTGCGTCATTTACGGCACAGCTCTGTTGCCCTCCTCTTTCCACAAACCATAACAACAGGTGTTACAAATCGTCTCACAGGCGTCTCTGTCTGTTTTGCACAACCTGGAGGGAGGGGCGATATTCCCTCCGGTGCGACCTTCACCGACGCACAAAGAAATGGTTAAGGTTTTTATAGTTAACATTTTATTCCATCAGTTTATTCCATCATTGTCTTACAGTGATGATTCTGTATGGTCTATTGTGTTAGTTTTCCATCATGGTGTTCGATTTTATTTCAAGGGAAGGTGCTCTCTTGAGCGTATGCATATTCTTATCATGTGCTGCAGGAGGACAAAGACGGCCGAGAGACTCTTTTTCCCTGGCCCCCGGTTTAACATCGCTCAAGTATTATTTAGCTTTAACATTAATGTTATGTATTCATTATGTACTGTGATTTATTTAACTTAAACTTGTTGCCTGGGGTCCTGCTGACACACGCTGCATTCAAGGCATCTCTCCCCACATCCACTCCTCTCTGCCTGGTGTGTGCGTTGCTTAATTAGATTTAGCTCTCCCTTGAACACAGATAGCCTGTGATTATTCCTCCGCTCTCTCACGCTGCGGGGAGACAAAAGCGTCTCTCTTTCTCTCCGTCTGTTGCTCGTATCTTTGGCGTGCCGAGATCAGCTTCACACGGGCACCCGCAGGTGCCTCTCCCGCCCTTTCTTCAGGGCTGCTCTGGCTTACGTGTTTTTCCATCACTAACCTTTGAATTAACACTGCATTATTATTTGCTTATGTCCTGTGGAAAAATTCTGATTGTCATACGCTTCGGTCAGGTTGTGCAGAAACTACTAAAAACTACTAAACATTCAGTATTGAATTCATAAATGGGCAATGGTTCATTGATGTAGCTCGCAGCCTGGTCTCCAATTGGAGCGAGCGCGAGTATCGATAATTTTAGCCTACTCCTGTTGTTCAATTTCGAACTTTAACGTTACTTTAAAAGCAATGCAGGATAAATGGTTGAGCTTTTTGACTTAACTATGTCTGTGGCTAACGCGAACTCTCGGCGACCCTGGGCTCTGCGTTTAGTCAACCCTACAGTTTGCTGTGTGCTGCGCTCTGTCTGTGTCTCATTAATTTTAATTTCAATTCAACGGCCCTTCCTCAGTTTATTAATTTTCGTGTCTGTGGGGTCGGATAACAGGCAAGGACATCGTTATTTTAAGGTGAAGTGTTAGTATCAATGTTCTATGTGACCATGGCTTGTAATCTCCCCAACTTAATTTGTTTGCCAAGGTCTGCTGCTGCCCCCCACTCTCTCGCTGTCTCTCTCAGTCTCTGCCCCACACTCTCTGCCCCCATCTCTGCCCCCCACTCTCGCTATTCGCACCGCTGTTGCCGCTGCTCCGCTGACGCCGCCATCCGAAGGCCTTTCTCCAGTCCTCATTAATTTTCGTCATTCCATTGAGCTGCGGTGGGGAAGTGTTATCCACGGATTTCCAGCCCTCCCGCGAGCGCAGGTGGTTGCCATAATGAGTTTCTGTCCGCTCTTATCTCTAGCGTGCCGAGGCCAGGTTCACACGCTGGCATTCAGTGTTGCTTCTCTCTCCTCGCCCTTGGTTTTTTTTGGCTCAGGCTCTATGGCTTACGTGTTTTGCAGTTTGCTATGCGCTTGTGTGTTTTCATTCATTATTTCTCTAAAAAAAATTTATCGGCAAATTTCTTGTTAATATTAAAGATGGAAAAAACACTTCGCGGGCAGCGCAGACGAGGAGGTGGGAGGGGAATTCCTAGCCACGCCGCGAATGTGTATTCCACAGGACGGCCACCTCAAATAAACCGGTTGTGGCCGGGGTGGGGAGGAAGGGTGCGTAGACAATGGGTCAGGGCGTAACGGAAAGCAATGCTCTAGGTAGAGGCGGGGCATCAGATTTAAATCGAAAGGTAGGCACCCGATTGGCCGCGCAGGGTAACACCACGTGACCTTGGATTGTCGGATTTCGAGGGCATAAAAGGAAGGAGCGAAAAAACGTTAGGGATTCTCCTCCAGCCATTCAGCCGCCCGGGCCGACTCCCAGGCGCTGGCAGCGTCCGAGAGACGCTAGCTAGTGCCGCTACGACTCGACCCTAGGCAAAGACCTCTCGGGTCGTCCCTCCGACTCCCACAGCGTCCGTGATGCAACCGTGAGTGCATCTGCGAGGTGAGAAGTAGAGTGGGGGTACACCCAGGGATTGAATATGGATAAGCTAGGCGCTGCTTGTAGAATATACCCTACGTGGGTGCGTGTGCGTGTTTAGTGGGGGTGTGCGTGCGTGCATGTGGATGGCGGCATTGGTGGAGTTGCTCCGCGGCCGTGACACCAGAGGGCGTCGGCCCCCATGCATTCACGCCACACGGACCTCTACAACGAGCGGCGAACGTGCTGCCACTGTGTATGAAGTTCACGAGTGCCTCGAGGACAGTCATGTGTGGTGTGCTAGTTGGTAATGACCCTCGACGAGCCAGCCAGCTTACAGTATCTGCTGCTGTTGCTACTGCACGAGGGTTCCAGCGCCTGTGCTGCATGGAGAGCCCGTGCGTGGGCGCGCCCACCCTGGGCTCTGCAGATCCTTGACCTCCCAATTCACATCAACGGACAGCTGGGGCAACCTACCTGTGCTACATGTAGTTTTCCGAGCAGTGTCGTAGGAGCATCACCACCGTTAACCCTTCACTCATCTGTACTGACCACTGAGTGAGTGTTTATATACAGAGTGTGCGCCAAGTGAGTGTTCATGATGATCGCGCGCCCGGTGTGAGGTGCAGAGGTCTTTAGGGGCACGGGGTGGTGGCGTGACATAAATGGCCCGGTGCTAGTGCGCCGTCGCAGTGACGTGCTTAGGTGCAGAGTCCGGGTTCAGAGGGAGCGGAGCGGGCACCGCAGTGGCTGAGACGCGGAGGAAGAGACCAAGGCCGAGAGGCAGCGGGTGAGCGAGCTCGCATGCTCACCGCCATCCCATGCTTGTAGAAGGCGGCAGTAAGTTTAGGAGTTGGATGCGAATGTCGGGTTTGCTCGTCACGGCAAAAGGACTCCAGGAGAGAGTTCGTGTAGCTTTGCTCATCCATCTCCACTGAAGGAGCACAGGCTACATTGGTTTACTTTATGGTCCATAGTTTGAGTTGCATTGCCACAATCGCACTCCCGTGGCTTGTCTTTAATTGTCCATTCACGACGGAGACGTGTGCATCGGCCTGTTGGTGTTTTGCTGTGGTTGTGAGCTGTTTAACGCGCAGTGCAGGGGGAGCTGTTTAAATACGAAGTGCAGGGAGAACTATTTAATTCGCAGTGCAGGAGGAGCTGTTTAAATCGCAGTGGAGGGGGGGGGCTGTTTTATATGTAGTGCAGGGATAACTATTTAATTTGCAGTGCAGGGGGAGCTGTTTAAGGTGCAGTGTAGGGGCGCTGTTTATTGTGCAGTTGCAGGGGCGCTGTTTAAAGCGTAGTGTGCAAGGAACGCTGTTTAAAGTGCAGTGCAGGAGGCGCTGTTCAAGGGCAGTGCAGGGAGCGCCGTGCAGTGCAGGGAGCGCTGTTTAAGTGTAGGGGAGTTGTTTAAAGCGCGGTGCAGGGGGCGGTGTGTACACGGGACCGTGCGGCCTGTGTACGCGTGCAGACGGGACATGGACGCGTGGACTCTGCTGCTGGGCGCCGCAGCGCTCTTCTGCTGCTTCTGCGCCCTGCGCGCGTGGCGCTCGCTTCGCGAGGCGCGCGCACACGCGAGGGCGCTCTCTGCGTTCCCGGGACCCGGCCGCCACTGGCTCTACGGGAACGTGCACTGCGTGAGTTGGCGCGTCCCGCCCGCCACGCGAGGGAAGGAAACTCGTTTCGCCACGTTCCCTTTACCAATGTGTATCGGGCGTGACACGGTGTGGTGAGACTCGTGCCTTACAATCAAAGGGTGCCTGGGTCTCGATTCCTGACCCGGGTGCTTTTCTCTGTGAAGTTTGCAATGTTCTCCCGCTCTTCTGCATGTGGTTCCTCGGGGTTGTAACTGATATATATGCCAAACATTTCAATGGTGAAAAATGTACGTGCAAATCGCTCGATCAGGATTACACACGCAGCAGCAGCAACTCCCGACTGTGTAAACTTGTCAGGACCCTCCTGAACCAGAGCCTTGAGACTCGGTGACGCTTCCTGAGCTTACGAAGCTTAATAAGCGACTGCTCGACTTCGGGCTATGCTGCTGCTGCTGTCCGTACAATATTCGGCTGAGCGCAGTAATATACAGCAACACCTCGATATGCGTATATTCGATAAACGAAGCTTCGGTATAACGAACTTTGGATTTATAACCATTGCTTTAATCAGAACGCCACAACAAAATAAAGTAACAAAGCAAACATGTGTAGAGGAGTAAAATGGGGACGTGACGTCATGTGTGCCGTCTAGTGCGATGACGTCACGGAACGTGGCGTCATGCACGCTGGGCGGCTCGATGACGTCATGTCTAGTATTTAAGGGGGACCCGTGATGACAGCGGGGTCACTGTGGGAACGGGTAGAGTGAGAAGGGTGGAGAGGGAACCAGGGGTAGAGAGGGATCGACGAGAGTCAGGAGTGAAGCCGGTGGTAGCCGTAGGAGGTGCTGCTCTTCCCGGTCGGTGGGGTTGGATAGTTCCCCCATCCGACTCGAGGGAGAGAGACCGGAGCTAGCCGGGCTGGACCAGGACTTAGTGTAGGACCCCTAACCCCTGGGAAGTTGTCACACCCTTTGTGTTATTGTAATATACTTAATAAACCTTTGGCGAAAGCCCTTACCTTCAAGTCGTCTCCGAGTCGTCGTCGGGAACTCCTCAACAACTGGTGTCAGAGTGTCTGCGCTGCCGCCACTATGTCAACATCGGGAGCGGCGCGCAAGAACCCACCGACGGGACGATCGGAGGATGAGGACGGCATGGAGGAGGCTTCGGCAGTGACCCCGGAGTCCGGGGCCCCGGTGACGGCCCCTGAGAAGAGCAAGGGGACGGAGCGGGAGGAGAAGGTGTCCGGGGGTGCCAGCGCTCCGCCGCCGGGCGCGGGGAGCGCATTCGTGGGGCAGCTGGAGCTGCTGACGCAGGCGATGGCGAAGCTCGGCGCCCGAATCAACATGGAGAAGGCGTCCGGGGGTGCCAGCGCGCCACCGCCGGGGGCGGGGAGCGCATTCGCGGAGCTACTGGAGCCACTCACACTGGCGATGGAGCAGCTCTGCGCCCAAGTCAATGTGGTGAAGGCGTCCAGGAGTGCCAGCGTGCCGCCGCCGGGCGCGGGGAGCGCATTCGCGGGGCAGCTGGAGCTGCTCGCGCGGCCGATGGCACAGCTCTGCGCCCAGATCGAGGAGGTGGAGGCAAAGGTGCGCGCACTCGGCACGCATTTTGGCTGGGAGCGGTGGATTCCCGCCAACCCGCTTCCCGCTAATTTAAAGATTGGCGCCGTGTTCCCGACGGGGGCGCCGCGGGAGGCGGCCGCCATTTTGGCTGCAACGCCGCTGGCGGCGGCCATGTTGGTTGGGGCACCGCAGGCGGCCACCATTTTGGCTGCGACGCCACAAGCGGCCGCCATTGTTGATGCGACGCCGCATGTCGGCGCCATGGGCGCCGCGACGCCGCTCTCCACCGTGGGTGCCGCCGCGCACGCGGGGTCTGCTGTCGGCGATGCCACAGCTCCGCACCACGCTGCGCCCGCCGGGGAGGCCCCAGGTACGGCCGGGGCTCCGTACCTCGCCGCGCGGCATGGGTTTCCGCCGGCGTCACCGCGGCTCCGGAGTGGGCCGAGGGTCACGCCGCAGCTCCGCACCTCGCTGTGCCAGCGGGTTTGGCCGCGCCCGCCGCCGCGGCTCCACATGTCGCCGCGGTCGCGGGGTGGGCCGCCGGCTACGCCGCGGCCCCTCTTCTCGCCGCGCCTGGGGGGTGGGCCGCCGACGCTGCCGCGGCTCTGCACCTCACAGTGCTGCGCATTGCCGTGCCGATGCCACAGCTGCGCGTCTCGCCGCGGGGTGGGCAGCAGGAGCCGCCGCTCGGGCCAGCGTGCACCTGGGGTTTTGGCTGCGAAGGCGGGAGGGGAGGGGAGCCTCCACTCGCCCTCCGCAGCTCACTCCTGGTGCTGCCACGAGTGGCCTGCCCCGGTCTGGAGGGAGGAGTGCTGGGCTGCTGCAGCTCTCCTGGGGCCTGTCACTAGCTGGCGCGGTGCCTGGCCTGGCGGTTGATGCCGCATGGGGAGGCGGTCCTGCAGCGCGTGTGCGCTGGGGCAGGCGCTCTGTGAAGACCAGATGGACCGCTGCCGTCGGCCTCCAGCCCTCATCGCCAAATTGTCGGTTTATGTGTTGTCGGGGCTGCCCAAGTGTCGGTTGTTGTATTACGTTTGGGCTGCCAAATTGTCGTTACCGAGTGATGTGGGCTTCGTAAATTTGACTTTATTGTTGTCGGGCTGCCCTGGTGTTGTGTTTGGTTCTGGGCGCGGTCCGTCTTCGTAGCCACTTCCATGGGGTTGTCAGTTGTTGTAAATGTGGTTGTTTGGGTTCCGGCACTCTACTTTTATGTTCTTACAGCCGAGTCGGCTGAATTTTTTTTCACAGGGGGGGGTAATGTAGAGGAGTAAAATGGGGACGTGACGTCATGTGTGCCGTCTAGTGCGATGACGTCACGGAACGTGGCGTCATGCGCGCTGGGCGGCTCGATGATGTCATGTCTTCTCTAGTATTTAAGGGGGACCCCGTGACGCAAGCAGGGTCACTGTGGGAACGGGTAGAGTGAGAAGAGTGGAGAGGGAACCAGGGGTAGAGAGGGATCGACGAAGAGTCAGGAGTGAAGCCGGTGGTAGCCGTAGGAGGTGCTGCTCTTCCCGGTCGGTGGGGTTGGCAAGTTCCCCCATCCGACTCGAGGGAGTGAGACCGGAGCTAGCCGGGCTGGACCAGGACTTAGTGTAGGACCCCTAACCCCTTGCAAGTTGTCACACCCTTTGTGTTATTGTTATATACTTAATAAACCTTTGGCGAAAGCCCTTACCTTCAAGTCGTCTCCGAGTCATCGTCGGGAACTCCTCAACATATGTACAGAGAAATAAATAATAAATATGTCCATCTACACTGCTATATAAATAACACAATTTTAATATGATATTGATTCTTGAAGGTTGCGCATCGCGATGTTTATTTAATTTACGTCAGTTTCAATTATAAAACTATACAGTATAAAATGTATTATTATTTTTAATAGAAATTGTATTTACAATATGAAAGGTAACTTATGAAGGCTTTATCTTATGAAATAGTAAGTTATGAAGGCAGGTAGCACATCATCATAGTACTAATGTCATAAGTGATTAATTATACGAAGCTTCAATATACGGAGCTCCAGGAAAGCATCTACTTTGTGTAACGACGTATTTCTATAACAGCAGACTAGCATTGCCCGTGCATTTGCGCGGGATATAACTTCAGTGAGTTGCAAGCGATCTGGCTTCCTTGCCATTCGTTTCCCAATGACACTCGTTCGCCTACCTGCAATCGCACCATCAACAGCAACAATATATTGACATAGCAACACCGTAAACAATAAAGTAGCAGATCAACACCAACACCGATTTACATATCAACAACAACAGCCTGGCGGTGGTCCCGCACGCCTGCGATCCAGAACTGCAGAGGCGAGGGTTGGGTTGATCAGACATGACGAATGCTCTGAAACTCCGTTGCCCATGTGCATCGAAATTGCTATACCCTAGCTTGCCAGCAGAATGCATTACAGTAAAGTGGAGGAATATATGATGTCCCTTCTGTATGGGACAGGTTGTTGCTTCCTTGCATGTGGGGGCATTCTCCAGATGCTGAATACATGGACTCCTCTACTTACGAACGAGTTAGGTTCCAGATGTCTGTTCGTCAGTCGATTTGTTCGTAAATCCAACTTTACTTCTGTCCATTCCAAACATGGAGAATGGCTTTAAAAGTTACATAATCTCCTGTAGATGCCACTGATTATTCAGTGGCATCTACATTCACGTTCTGCAGACGTAGATTCCACCACCGCCATCTATTACGCGACTCTTGGTCCGAACAGGCAACTGAACGTACGTACACGATTGTTCGTATCCCTGAAAGTTCGTAAGTCGAGTGTTCGTAAGTAGAGTCCCTGTACATAACGAACAGCTGAGCAAATTTCTATTTAAAGCTTTCGTGACTGCAATGATTCATCTTCTTTGGTCCTTTCAGTAAAGTCACGTAGAATGAGAATAAAATAATAAATTTATATTATTGTGTTATTTTATTTTATCAATTTATTATTTTATTCTCATTCTACATGACTTTACCGAAAGAACCAAAGAAGATGAACAGCTGAGCAATTGATGGTGCCGGCTCATCGCCTGCCAGTCTTCAGCTTATCAATTGATCCCCAGCGGTTGTAAGATACAATTTGCATGAACGACGCTGTATTAAACTAATTATATATTTATTAAATGAACATCAATAATGACATCAACAACATCAATGACAACATGGCATCACAATAATGTTAATATCATTAACACCACTTGTATAAATATGAGCAACAGCTTCACAACTATTTTACAACCACAACTGTAGCCACAATATGACCACAACCTGGATGACGACAACCTCAGCCACATTATAACCACAACCATAACAGACCCATTATTACCACAATCATAACAGGCACATTGTAACCACAACCGTAACAGACACATTATAACAGATCCTCAGCATTGTGTGTACCAACCACTCATTGTTGCAGTTAATAGTAACTCAGAAAGTAACAAAAATTAGCTCAATGGTTAATTTATACATTAACCCCAAGTTTCTTACATACAATGAGCTATCTCATGGGACATTTTTGTCAATGTCAAAGTATGAAAAATAAGAATAGGTTTTACCCTTTCTGGCAATAAACCAGGAGGTGTTAAGATGTTCAAACACCAAATAGATACCTTTTGCAAGAAATCAAGTCTGCAACCTTGGGCGCTCTTGATAACAGTATGTTGCGTATTTATAACTGTACTTGAAGCTGTTCTGATGGTGCGTTTTGTGCTTTGTTCAGGCATGAAATGTCTAGCGTGCTTCATGTCGTATGTTCCAGCGCGGCGAGACGTGTTCATGATTGACACTGTACTATATACGCTGACGAGTGTTTATGTTCGGGAAATGTTTGTAGTTCCCCGACGATGAAAGGGCGCTGCAGAATGAGCTTAAGTTCTCCAAGGAGTATTCATTCGCCACACCGCTGTGGTTTGGACCGACAGTAAGCTACCTGTCCATGACGCATCCAGACTACGCCCGAGCAGTGCTCACAACCAGCGGTAATTGCTACACTGCACCAAAAGGCAATTGAGACCAAACGCGCATCTCTGATAAGCTTGCAGCAGATCTAAAAGTACGCAAGAGAACAAAGTAGGTGCACAGTTCGAGTCATGTACCACACGTCAAGCCAGACTGGGGCCCCCCCTGTGTACTGTTCACGATGTTAGTGATTTGAAAAATATGCTGATATGGGCAGACATGAATCGTATTGCGTTCAACGCACATTCAGAGTCAAAGTAATTTCCTTCTCAAACGAGCAAAGTGTACAGACATGAGCCAGTGGATGACATTCACAATCCTATGACGGGGGCTAGTCTAGACGTAGCATAACCCACTGTTGATTTCCCCACAAAGTGGTACTCTAATTTTAGCGACCCCAGCTAGAGGGGTGATGTTGATTGCTCGCTCTACCACTGATCTACTATGTAATTAATTCTGATGAATTTAATAACCATATACTACAGATTGTATTCCAGTGCATTTAATATACATGATACAGTATTTAACATTCCGTTTCCATGTATTACACATTATATACTACGGAACATATTCTAGTGCTGCGCATACCACACTACTCGTCTATGTTTTATGTAATTCTTGGGATTACACAGCCAGGAGCCCGAGGGAGGAACACGTGGCCCAGGCAAGATAACTTGAGACGCCGTATTGGTGTTAACATTGAAATGCATTTACCTGAAACCACTCGTTATTACTTTCTAAAGATTTAATTTAACAAAGAGTTACAGTTATTAATTGTTCAACTTTTAAAACAAAATACTCTGCTTTGTTCATATTACCCATGGTGTCAATTGCAGAACCAAAAGACGATGTTGCATATGAATTCCTTATCCCATGGATTGGTAAGTGGAGAATTTGCAAAATGTGCACGAACGTGATATTGCTGTTTCATACCCTGAGGGGTACCACGGCCCGCACAGCAAAGCAAGTCTCTCATCTCGTTACGCACCGGATCGACTGGATGGCCATGTAGCAGGGCGCCAGGTTGACACAAAGTAACGCTTGTGCCTCACCGCAATGAGGTCCCGGGTTCGATTCCCGACCCAGGTTCCGTTCTGTGTGTAATTTGCATGTTCTCCCCCTGTTCTGCATGAGTTTCCTCCAGGTTATATTAAAAAAAAAAACACCCAACGTAACTTGCATTAGCCAAACATCCCAGTGCTAAAAATTGTACCTGCAAATTATTCAATTGGGTTTGCCGATAGCAACATCGCATCCTACTGCAAAAATAAATAACCTGGCAAGACCCTTGTGAAATAGAGTCTTGATGCTCATTGAGGCTTTCCTGTGTAAACACATGTAGCAGCACTAATGCTAACATCTAAATGGATGGACTTTTTGTTGAGCTACACCGGGTGTTTTGTTCTTATTCTTCTAGTGTATGGCAGGTACGTGTAAATTATATGTCCAGGTTTAAACCTGTGAGCCGTGGGATAGCTTCGGAAGTTGCGTGACTAATACTGTCCAGTCTGAGGGGCTGTTTTGTTGTGGTGCTTTGGTTAGAGTTCCTGATCTACATTTCGAGGTTTGCAAGTTTAGATTCTGATTCAAATTCAATAAAATGTGTTCCCATTATGGGCTGTGAAGAGTGGCTTTCCTGTGTAGTAGGCTTTAAAAAGATCAATCTCCACCATCTCAATCAATTTGTATTTTGCTATGGTATACGGATCAGAAACATTTTATTTAACAAAGACAAAAAACCGATACGTTTTCAAAGACGCGTGGAGAGATGCATGCGTGGAATTGTATTGACACAAAGAGCGCACATATTAGAGAATACGCGTGCTAAGAAAGTATCTGGGCTTGTGCAGGAAACGTCACGGCCAGAAGGATGATGGCTGACAGGAATAATGATGGGAGTGGCATCGAAGGAATGCAACTCGTCCAAAGTACATCATCCAAATAGATGGAGCGCTGATGTGAAGATGCCACATGGATTGATTTAGTGAGATATGGCAATGGCTTTTTGAAACTTTCAGCCAGTAATGGATTTATTATGCCTGATGATCATCTCCAGGCCATCACTGGAAATCAGTGCTGCGACTGCTGTTCAATTGCTTTGTGCTATGTAGATGACATTGGTCTGCTCAACGGCTTCATGTAGGGAGGATATTTCTTTAAGAATTACTCAAGGCGATGTGCAATGTTTCTCTTTCAGGAAATGGCTTGCTTGTGTTATCTGGACCCAAGTGGTTTAGAAACCGGCGACTTCTGACTCCTGGGTTTCACTATGAAATCCTCAAACCATACATTGCCATCATTGGTCAAAGCACTGCATCAATGCTGGTGAGTAAAGTTAACTTGCCAGTTTTCATAATGAAGTTAACAATGTCTCCACTAACCCATCCCCGGTCCTCATGCTTGGCGCCGTTTCAAATGAAACGTCAACTACAACTGCTAAATTTGCCTGTGATTATTGTTCTCCGACTTACCAGTCAGTTTAAGGAATAGTAATTGTACAGGTGATACGGCACAAACTGGGTCAGATAATTACGTAGTGTCCTAACCCAAAAACAACTATGAATTGTTACAAGCGAGAGTTGGCAAGAAGTGATTCCTCAAGAGGCCATGGTCTGAAATTGTGGGGGCCCACATCTGGTAGAACTCATCTTCTTCGTACGGCTGATGTAGATGCAGAAGCAACAACTACAATTTTCCATTAAGATGGCCAAACTTGATAATCGCGTCAGGAGCAGCGGAGTGTATCACCGTGATGTCTCCTTCATATTTGTGGATCGGGCATTGCGTCACTACACTTTGTACGGTCTGTTCTAGATGACCACAGTCGCAGACTACTGGAGAGTTTTTAATTTTACATTTTTGCATCGGGTATCCACATCTATGGTTTGTGCGGATGCGGTTTCGGGTGGACCATGGTATAGCTAGCAAAGGCAGAGGAGGTCCCAGTAGACGGTGGAAAGTGATCGCGTCTTGTCATCAGCCGCAAACCATGACACGAGCTCTCCTTTGCCAGCTCAGACATTGTCCAGATTAACGAAGTCCGTGCAGCAGCCCACTCAGGCGCATCAGTGGCTGTCAAAAGTGGGCTGTCACACCCAGTCTCCCCAGCTGAGCAAACCGTTTCGTATCATTGGTACTCAAACGGGATATTCTTGGATGTAGGGTCTAAAAAGGGGATAGGGCAAGAGAACCTGCCAAGCAGGTGAGCGTGCTGGATGTTGCGTTGACATGTTTAACGTGACTGTGTGGAACAAGAGGGGTGCGTTCGAGGCGGACACACCTTTGTAGTGTGCACAAGGATGAGAGGCAACAGGTCGGTTTAAGGATTGTTGTTGAAAACAATCGAAGTTACGAAGTTTTGCTCCTGGATGAGTAGATCGTGTTATACAAAGTTTCGGGTATTTTACATTTCCAACAGCTGAAGCCCAAGCACCAGCTGTGGCTGATTAATAATGTAAATTAAAAGTGTTCAAACACCAAATAGACACCTATTGCAAGGAGTCAAGTTTCTATTAACCACACACGCTCGTGGTAAAACATGCAAACAAACGTGCTTTGGTAATTAATGTATTCATGTCTTTGAAACGGATTGGCCTGTACTAGAGAAGGCCTCCTTTATGGCATTGTCTCACCACCAGTGTTAGAGCAGAAATATTGGCAATAATGGTCCAGTAGAAATGTGAAAGAGCAGTTCTCGAATAAACTGCAGTGAGGTAATGATATAATATTCTAACCACGCTGAATTTCTACTTTCAGGAGAACATTGTGCTGTTAAGCTCATTGTATTTACTCAAATTCAATCGATGTTGAGTAAAACCGCTCGATATGTCCGGCATACACTCACCGTGCATACGATTAAAACATTATTCTCGTTTTCAGGATAAATGGGAGAGACTTACAGAGAAGCAACCGACTTTAGAGGTTTTCGGTGACATTTCTCTGCTCATGCTTCACAGCATCCTCAAGTGTGCGTTCAGCTATGAAGGCAATTGCCAAACAGAAGCGTGAGTCTTGCACGGTAGTACAAATACGACGTCACTCTGAATGTAAATTTGGACGACGGTTTGTTGTGCATATTTTACCAATAACTCGGACTCACGACAGCATCGCCATCCTGCTCCTGAGCATCATCATTATCACCACCACCAGTAGCAGCGGTAGAAGCAGCAATAGGAAGAAGAACGACAACACGTCCACAGCTTGATTGCCTTCCTCCCCCCTGCCTGGCTTCTCGTGTCGCTGTGCACAGCAGCAGCTGAGCCAATCACCCAGCAACACCCCCTGGGTGATGCGTGTCCTGCCGCCAGTCAGCATTAGTACCGGATTATCCCAGTAGCAAAAGTAGCTACATACGCTACGGGCCCGGCACTTTCAAGGGCCCTGCGCTAAATGCTTTCAATTCCGGTTCAGTGATTCTGCTATTACTCTATTACTATAGTCCTATACCGCCTTCAACTTTTATAAACGACTGGGTGTTTAAGGTTAGCGATTTTATCGTATTATCGGGCTGTATAGCATATACCTTACTATGCAAGGTAAAAATGTATGTGTTTTAATATTTAGGGGTTTTTTTTTATTTTAGGGCCCCTTTCTAACATATGCTACAGGCCCCGCACTAGCTTAATCCGGCACTGGTCAGCATCGTCCCTATTTCGCATTCCCCAGCCCCATCGGATTATCGTGTTTGTCTCCAAACAGCCCCAATCCCCTTCACGGCCCGACACAAGCCTCACGCTTCTCGAGTAGCCCACCCTGTTCTACGGACCAAGCGCCGACTCTTTGGAGTTGGAGGTGCATGGTAAAGGAATTTGTTGCAGCAGAATTCTGGGCAGCAGGGTGGTGGTAAATCTCGGGCCTCACAGTAAGAAGGTTACCTGGGTTGTATTCCTGACTGGAGCACCTTTCTGTGTGGAGTTTGTAAGTTCTTCCCCTGTTTTGCATTGGTTTCCTCCGGCATATCATCGAAACAGAAATTAAGCACGGGCACTGTGTACAAGTACAACTAGTATGTTTCATAAAACCTATGGGTGTATTAACATAATACATGTTTTAACGATTGAGAACGAAGGCTGCAGTAAAGATTAAAAAACACTGTTCTAGATTGTAGTCCCCATCCCCAGCTGAAAGTTGAACACTGTTTAATGCTGAATCGGTGAGAATCCATGAGTGGCATAAGGCATGCATTCATGTCTGTTTCTGCTCTTTAATGCAGTGGCTACATAATGCAGACCGCGTTTAATGATCATTCCTGTTCTCACGAAATGCTGTCGTCTGTCGTTGCAGGGGCAATTCGTACGTGCGAGCTGTGTACGAATTGACGGATTTGGTTCACCGTCGCTTCCGAAATTTTGCGTTGCATAACAAGTGGGTGTATTACCTCACCCCAGCTGGACGGCGTTTTCAAAAAGCCAAAGGACATGCACATAAGCACACAGGTAAACGCGCCAACATCCCCTCGTGGGTACACACGTACACATCGAAAATATCACGTCATGACAAGCACAGGACACACGTGGGGCGTGTGTTTCAGGGTGATATCAATCGCATGATTGCCATGGTCATTTCCATTCAGCACGTTTGAAGTGACTCCGAGAACAATTTCTGGAACATCTAAGGATAACTAAAAGGTAGCTTTTTGATTTAAAGCTTTCGTGACTGCAGTAATTCATATTCTTAGTTCTTTCGGTAAAGTCACGTTGAAGGGAAACAATAAAATAATAAAATATACATAAAACAATAAAAATTATCACGACGTTTCGACCATAACACAAACGGTCGTCATCAGGTGTGTCGGTTTGCATAAATTTGTAAGCCATCTGGCTACCATGAGAGATTCGTTCATGAGGCTATCCACATATACAAGCACAGAGACAATTTCAACCGAGAAGATGGATTCTGGCTTAGCAATCATTGGAAAGATTTGATAAACAATTTCAGGTCTTAATTGATTGTTCACGCTTACAGTGGCTTTCAGACAGCATACATTAAATTTTTCGTCTCCCCCCTCCTCTTTTCAGAACATAGATGGACTAGTCCTTCTAAATAAACTGCCAAATCGCTGCGCGTGGTGCTAACGTTTTTTATAAATAAAAAAATACACCGTTTAAAAATAAATAAATTTATGCAAACCGACACACCTGATGACGACCGTTTGTGTTATGGTCGAAACGTCGTGAGAATTTTTATTGTTTTATATATATTTTATTGTTTCCCTTCAACGTGACTTTACCGAAAGAACTAAGAATATAAAAGGTAGCCGTGATACCTCTAAACTTACCTACAGCCTGCATCGCGTGTACAGGACTTGTGTGTGTGTTGTGTCACATGGGGAGCAGTAGAGTAGCAGTTAGCGCGCTGCGCTACGAACCCGGCCACTCGAGTTTGATTTCCCGCTCACGGCGAACACCAGTTACAATTATCTGAACCTGTCCTGGGCATCCCCTAGGTCAACTCCGCCTAAAATTAGAACCTGGTGCATTGTGTAAATAATGCCACTAGGGAGACAAAGGCAGCCTGGGCGTGGTGCTGGCTACCCTCCGCTCGTGTGCCCCAGTGCCGGTCTTCATGGGTGTTCACGAACAACACTTGCCCCAACAGTCTAAGGCTATACGGGGGATTTTTGTCTTTGTTGTGTCACAAGTGTGTGTTGTGTCACACGTGTCACGTGCCACGCATATTCAGAGGACGTGATCAGACGGAGGAGAGAGACGCTGAAGTTGGAAGCTCAGCAGGACAAGACGCAGCAGAAACGGAACCTGGATTTCCTCGACATTTTGCTGAGTTCCCGTGTAAGCACAACATAGAGATCGCACAAGACACACCCTGCCCATGCATTTGCCCTCATTCTGCCCATGTTCTGTTTTATTCCTTTGATACATGCTCACCCAGCGAGTCTCAAGAAGGTCCAGCCAAATTTTCACCTGCAGTAGGGGGCCAATGTTGCGATATGTATTCCGATTTGAGTAATTTGAAGGTCATTTTAGCATTGTGATGTGTGTTTGTTTTCGTTCCTTATAGAGTTTAGCGCAGGAATCTTTAAACGTGTCCACCAGGTGTTCATGGCGGGTGAAAGTAAACTGTGCACAGGGATCAATAGGCAATGAAGTGTGACGACAAGGTGAGTGTGCCCCAATTTGTTGAAGACGACGTCATCTGTACCGATGTTTGTGCTGCTGTGCCTTTGTCCCCACCCTTACCAGGACGCGGACGGGCAGAGCCTATCAGACGAAGAGATTCGCACGGAGGTCGACACCATCATGTTTGCAGGCCACGACACGACGGCGAGCGGCCTCTCCTGGGTCCTGCATGCACTTGCGAGCAACCCGCACCACCAGGAGGTGTGCCGCGATGAGGCGGCCCGCGTGCTGGCCGGGCGCTCGCAGCCAGAGTGGTGAGGCGGAGCAGGGGGGGTGGAAATGGGGAGGAGGAGAAGAAAGGGGATGGGGAAGAGGAGGGAGAGGAGGAGGATGGGGGAAGAGGCTTTCGAAAACCTTGCGCATTAAATGCAATGTGCATGCTTTGCTCGTCAGCCTGCATACCTTGTGGACCACTGTTTCCAACAGCGTTTTTTTTGGTGTGTCTGTTGATTCTCGCGCGTCCGCACAGGGACGACATCTCGAACCTGCCCTACACCACCATGGTCATCAAGGAGTCTCTCCGTCTCTACCCACCGGTGCCGAGCATCATCCGCAAGCTCACGCAGCCGCTCAAGCTGCCACACGGACATGTTCTCCCAGCCGGTAGGTCGTGCGCCTTCGTGGGTGGCAGGGCGGTGGCGCAGAAGTTAACACTCGTGCCTCACAGTAAGAGGGTGCCTGGGTCCGATTCCTGACTCGGGTGCCTTTTTATTTGGAGTTTTTGTACGTTCGCCCCCTGTTCTTCACAGGATTCTACCGTAAGTTCTCCGGTTTTCCCCCATAGCTAATAAAACCCACACAATGTAGCTGGTATTAGCCAAATATCACCAATGCTGAAAATGTATCATCTTCACTCTAACCTGCTTCCGTTCTTCCCTTAAAACTCTCCCTAGCCCATCCGACTGCTACTCCCTGCCTCCCAGCTACGACCAGGCCAACACCTACGACTACCCATATCACTAACACTACCCTTCCTTAACCACTCTCAGCTGTCCTGTCACCATAACTACACCACCACTTTTAAGAACCCCACTCTTTATTTGAACCACTGTCATCTTGTAAAGTGCCTTGGATTAAGCAGCCATATAATTCTTTATGAGATATCATCTTATCGTTGCACTGCCATCTCCCTAGACAAAGATTCCCCATGTAGCCTTCACCGACTATAGGAGCAAGTGCTGTTAGCGAGCACCTAATGAAAGCCGGCAAGGCACACCAGAGGGTGGCTCGCCAGCACCACGCCTGATCGCCTTTATCTCTCCAGTGGCGATGTTGACAACCGCACAATGTACTCATTTAATGCTGAGTCAAATAATCGTCACTGGTGCTGACCGTGAGCGGGATTCGGTCCCTGGTTCGCCAGGTCCGTAGCACAGCGCGCTAACCACTGCGCCACCGCTCCCCATCTCCCTACAAACCTCTGCACACGCACAGTCGCGTTGTCGGTAAAACTGCTGTCTAAGCGCAGTCTTCCCCTGCAGCCAATGTCTTGCGATGAGCGATGCCGTGTCTCGTCGTGGCGATGCACAGCGAGGTGATCGGTGTGTGTGTGCGACGCAGGAATGCGGGTTTGCGTCAGCATCTTCTGCATCCATAGAAATGAGGAATTCTGGAAGGATCCTGAGGTATGTATGGCAGTGCCCCTCTGTGTTGTCAATTATATACAAACATCTGTATGTGCCTATGGACATACCATATGTAGTTTCCAATCACAATTCAGGTTGTTCTAAGATCATGCCGACAGTTTTAAAATATTTTAAGTCTCTTTTCTTATATTGGAAAACCCTCATGTTTGGTGCAATTCATAATTCGAGGCCGTAAAGTCAACACGCTTATCTTCACACAATGTTGACACCCGAAAGGTGGGGCTCAGCAGCAGTACTCACTTATATCACACCGAACTTACCTATCAGGAGATGAGTTGTGTTTGTGCTCACATGCAAGTGTGTCATGTGCGTGGATGCTTCTGTAGGTTTTTGATCCGCTGCGGTTTTCTCAGGAGAATTCCGCACACAGACATCCGTACGCCTTTATTCCATTCTCTGCTGGACCACGGTTATTCACGCGTAGACACGCGGGCTTCACAGGTTTACACGAACATGCATCTCTATTACAGATGCTGGGCACGGGCCTAAATGCCTCTTATGCAAAGCGGCCCACAACAAGGAATATTTAGCCTAGGCTCCCAGATTATTATTCCGCTCGTTTACCCAGGAATTCCTAAGACTCGAGACACTTTTTCTGGACAGTCCTGCCAGGTTTTCTGCATGATGAGGCAATGTTGCTGTGTAATCTGAAGAAAGTAATTTGCAGGCAGTTTTTAGTCTTGGGACGTTTGACCAATACCTATTACATTGTATGTTATTTTTGCTATTTGGGAGGGGGATTTGAGAACCCGAAGGAAACCCACGCAGAACAAGGGGAGAACAAACTCCTCAGAGAGGAGCACCCACGTCAGGAATCGAAACCAGGCCCTCTTGCTGTGAGGCACGAGTTGCCACCACTGCCGCACCACCAGGGAGAGCAAACACCTATTTCAACGGGGTGGCTATGGCAAGATACCACCGTGGGGCCCCCCTCCTGTCTCCCGACTCACTTTTACTGGAATAGCTATGGATTTTTTTTAACCCCGTATACAATATGTAGGCTATAACTATATAATTTTAGTTATACCGTGTATTGGGTTTAGAGAAAGACAATCTCACAGTGATAGTATTGACAAAAATTTTTTTAAAGATAACAATACTCACAATTAAGTTATTGTGCGTCTTGCTTTCATGCTGGCCCCGTCGGTCTATGATTTCCTCAAAGGGGGTGGATCGTGAAAATTGATGCTGCTCTATCGATATGATAGCCAGATGCGTTAATCGGGCTTGGGTCCATGGTAGACCGCAGGTAATATTTTATTATCTTTTTTATTTTACTTAACATGTTTGTACTTATTTTTGTTTCCTTCGGTAAAGTCACGTAGAAGGGAAACAATAAAATAATAAAAATATAAAACAATAAAATTCTCACGACGTTTCGACTGCAACACAAGCAATCACAATCAGGTGTGAAAACCACAGCAAGGAAATTTGATAAAAGTGGCGGTTTTTTTTTACGATTTATTGTTTTATATTTTTATTATTTTATTGTTTCTATTATTTTATTACTTTACCGAAAGAACCAAGAATATGAATCCCTGCAGTCACGAAAGCTTTAAATAAAAATGTTTGTACTTGTTTATCTGTTGATTCGGGCCCCCCTTGTGGCTGACTGGGCCCCAATGCGTCGCATAACGCTGCATACCCCCCATAGTTGCGCCCCTGGGCGATCTGTATGAAACAACTTGATTGTATGAAACAACACAAATAAACAACTTGATTCTGGGAGCAAGGTTACAGGAACCATGGCAAAAGTGAGTTTGATCCCGTTGGTGCAAATCAGCCGAAGCAAAGGGTAGGTGATGACAGCGACTTGGAAAAAAAATAGATGATGGGAGGGAGTTCCAAAGTAGAGCAGTGCAAGGAAAGAAGCAGGAAGAGAAGAGTTGTCCTACAATGGAGTGGATGAACACAATACAGCTGAGAGGGAAGAGTCAATCAGCCAGAATGAGTGCTTAACATGGGCAGAGGCATCAAGGTCTGACGTTCATGACATGACAGTGATTATCGGTGACCGAACAATAAATGAGAATCAGTGAGCACAGGATCATCGGTCAACCAAATTTGTGTAATTATCGCAGCATGGTTAAGACATGTGAGGGGAAATTAAATCTGTTGTTTCTATATGCCGAGTCCCGACAAGCTAAACATCTTGAAACAAATATTTCACTTAAATTCGATTATCATGACCCAATGCTACACAGACGGAGAGAGCTCCTGCATTAAGTCAACCTGAGCTGGGAAGGGTTGAAAAGTTCCAAATGTTAGTCACAAGACTTGTTACTTCACAAGTATTGCGCTGTTGGTTTATTTGCTATTCTGATTTTTTTTTAAATCATAAGACATCTGTTTTTTGACATGCCGTTTACAGCACAGGCAACTAAGCAATGTACCACTTTGAGATGGTTGTACTCAACACACGTTTGTCAGTGTAATGGCCTTTGACTGTCGGTACATACCTTATCGTTCACAATTGCACTAAAGGCCGCATTGTTTATGTTCCACTGTATATTGAGTGCTCATTGCTCCCGACTCCTTTGTCTGCAGAAACTGCATTGACCAGAACTTTGCCCTCAACGAGCTGCGCGTCACCGTGGCGATGATCCTGTCACGATTTCGCATCCATTCGGCCTCCCCGCCGGCCTGGCCCCTGCCTCAGCCTATCCCTCGCATAGTTTTACGTTCAAACACTGGCTTTCATTTCCGTTTTGAAAGACTCTAGCCTCTCAAATCTGTCCCAAAATAACATTTTGATACCTAGACAAGGTAAGGCATGCGCAATTTATATTAGTTTTTGATAAACGTGCCGATCAAAAACCACCAAGACAAGTCTGATTTATCAGGGAAACTTTAGATAAACGGTAATATGCAAAAAGTACAAAAAAATTGAAAATCTAAATAAAAACCACTAAGTGCTGAAACTTGTACTACTTAGTGCAATGTAGATACAAACACGTTTGTTAATAAAAAAAATTACTCCATACATAAATGTGCCCAAGTTGGTAATTGAACCCAGAGGACCCCCTTGCTATGAGGCACGACTGCGCCAACTTTCCACCGTTAACACACACACATGAACGTTTGCCTCTGCAGTGCAGAGGTCGCTGCGGTCAAATCAATGCAGGTGGTGCTGCTGCTGTTCCAAGGAGCAGTGGGAAAACATCCCGATACTTGGGTCAACTCTTATTTTACAACAGCTTTGACTTAAGAGATGGGGCCATCTGCTATAAATATAGAAGTGTAATTGACTGGAACAGAAGACGAATAGACAAGTATTGTGCCAAGTAGCTTCTAGGATTTGGTGCTGAAGGTTGGGGAATACTTAACAGCCACGGGGACTGGGTCAGGCAGCAAGAGGCAGTCGAGCTGAGGAGATGCGTGGTGAACAGGATGAGACTGTGCCGATCCAGAGCAACCGGCATGCTCAGGGCTGGGGCAAAATGACACGTAGTGCGTGACTGCGGCGCGATGCTTGTGTAGCGTGATGCTTGTGTCGCGTGAGTGCTCGGATTGTTGTGTTCTAAGTGGGGGCTGTGTTCTCCTGAGGGGCCTATTTTTCTCAATGGGGGTTGTTCTTGTCAATGGTGGTACACTGTAAAACATGTTTTGCTTTACCAGCCGCCTCAAATAAATGTCATAATAAAGTGCGGTTTGGGCTTAAAACCCTGTGTCCTGGTCCACTGAACAACATCAGCCACGAACCATGCATCTTATTTTACACTCGTATACGCAGGAAGGCCTGAGTCAAGACTTTTTCAGGAGGGTCATGCCAGGTTTTTTGCAGCAGTGAACGATGTTTTCTGCTGCGTGTAATCCCAATTGAGGTCATTTTTCAGCATTGGGATGTTTGGTCAAACCCAGTTGCATTGTATGTTTATTTTTAGCTTTGGGAGGAAACCTGAGAACCTGGGGGGAACCCATACTGAATAGAGGGATAACTAAAAACTTCACACAGCAAGGAACCGAGCCAAGAATTGAACCTCGGACCTTTTTGCTGTGAGGCACGAGTGTAACCATTGCGCTGGCACTCTGCCGTCCATATGGGTACCTATTCCTGCTGGAGACGGGAAACCTGTGGATAATAGAATAAAGCAAACCCTGCTCTTCGATTAGCCTGCTGGGTTGTTGGTGTATGAGCTGTCAAGATACATTTTGTGAAATGAAACTGGAAATATTTTGCATCAGCAGTCCTGCTGCGTGAAGAGCAGAGCCACAATGTCCAAAGATAAGAATAAAGCCGACAATATCAACGTTTTTTTTATTTAATTAAAAAATAATAAATTTTCCTGACCAAATCATGAAGCTGTTTTATAATGTATTGTTGATCTTTACGATCTAACTTTTCATCAGTTGGTCACTTTTGTAAGCGTGAAGCTTTTACTATTTTTATTGAAAATTCTGCGAGGATATCTGGGTGCCTTTCCCAGAAAGAATCCCCAATGATGGATGTCTTCGTGTAGCATCACCACCTTGCGCTGCTGTTCCTGCCTTTTGTCCATTCCCTTAGCCTTCCACGAGGCACGCCTTCCCTCTATCGGGGTGTCCGGAGCCGCACACCGGCTCGCAGAATCGGATGAGCATTTGGTTCAACGCTCACGGATTCCTCCACCTCGCTGACACGATCACCACTTCCCACAGGGCGCTCCCGCCGCTGTTCAGGGCTGCCCTCTGGCGTGGGCTCTGTCGGGGAGGCTGACCTCCGACTCCCCGCTCCCTTGTGATCCGAGGCTCTCCTCTCCCGTACTCGGGGGAGGGTTACTGCACCCCGTCTCTCCTACCCTCACCTCACTGCCCGACGCCGTGCACCAATCGTACGCGCGGGACTCGGGGTCGGGGGTCAGAGGGCAGGGGCGTCACCCGTGCGCGCGCAGCCGATTGGAGGAGGTACCCCAGAGCCGATTTAAAGGCTGTGTAAACAACCTTGCGTGAGCGCCGCCCGTGCCCTTCTCGCCTTTGCTAACCACGAGCTACACAGTTTATCTTGCGTACACGATGTTCGTTTACCTCGCACACACGTTAGCTACGAGTCACACGTAGCGGCGAGCGTACCCAAACGGGTAGAATACCCGCTGGTGCGCAAACACAGGGCACTCCACCGAGCAGTCGGGTGCTGGCACGCCAGCGATCAGTCGGGTATAAAGCAGTGCACCCCGGCGATCTGACTCACGACACCCCACCCTCCTCTCCGCACTCACAGAGACAACACGACACGGTTTATCCTCTACTGACTATTTATTCCTGGCGAATAAACAAACTAAACTATGCATGTCAGTGTGGGCCAGCAGGGCAGGTATAGCCTACCCCCCGGTGGTCTGGGACTCAGTCTGTCTTGCCTCTCGCTCCACTTACTGTCCCCTAGTTATGAAGCCCAAACTCACCTCTCTCTTACGTATTCGCGGTTCTACTCCGATGTGCAGGAAGCCGTGGGAAGGCGATGCTGCACGTAGTCTTCGTGGGGAACGGGGCCTGGCTGTGCTGGGACTCGTCTCACGGACGATCCAGTGGTTGGCGCGATCACTCCTCCGATCTTGACCCCTTGAAGAACACGACTTATCCTCACTACCTCGTCCACCCCTTTTATTGTCCTTACATCAAAGGCAATGCGCCGCCAATCTCCTGGCCTCTCGTCCAATCAGGAGCCTCGGATTTCCCGCTCTTTTGTTAATCGGATTAGTGCTCTCTCCGACGTCCGCTTTTTTCTCTTTGGAAAAGCGCACACGTCCGACACGGAGAGGAGGGTCCCATGTCTTCCCCGCCGCTCGTTACTCTGCCCCTCCCTCTACCTGCCTGCTGACCCGTGTCGAGTGTGGATGTTTTCTATCCGCGGTGGCTCAGCAGCCCCCGTCGTGACCACGTGATTACAATCCAGGTCATGGCGCCGCAGTGCACGTTAGCCTCGGGGTAGGTCGCCCAATTCCCTGGTCGCAGGAAACCATGAAGCTTGGTCCCATGAGGGGGCTTCTGGGTGAAAACCTGCCGGCCAGGTGACCTCCCCTCGGGGCTCTATGTGGGGTGTATGCGTGTGTTCAAGTGGGGAGTGGTGAGGGACGAGCAGCGTCGGCCCCGTCGCTCGGAGGTGGCGGTGTCGCGGCCACTGGGCCGGCAGAACGGCTTTGCTGCTGCGGCATCACAGCGGCGGGCCCGGCCTCGGCGGAGCAGATTTGCTGCCGTGGCACCACAGCTCATCCGCAGACCTGTCCACAAGATCTCGACTGCCACTCCATTCCTCCTCAATGACACCTCCTCCTTTCCCTGGGTTGGATTCCCCGTAGAAGCTGCTTCAGCCTCCTTTAGTTGGTGTCTGGAGACCACCTGCTGAGAGGACATTTTGGTCAGCTCATTTTTATTTTTTTAAAACGTGGACATTTTGACTGGAAATAGCCTGGGTGAGGTTCAGTCTGTACAAAACAACTTGCTGATTTCGTCAAAGAGCATAAACCATCACGCAAATTCTGGTCATCCTTGCAGTGGCTTTTGGCAAACCATCGAACAAAGATGGTCAGTGCTTCGGGCGCTTTCAGATCCGCCTCTGCGGCTATCTGGAACACTCTTCTGTTATTAGTATGTATGTTCAACTTCTTTAGCGCTGTACATAGCCAACCATGCTAGCGCCCTGTGATAGCTGCAAAAACATTGAGTAACTCGATATGCGGCGTGCGTTCGGCATGTTCTCGGCGCGCGTGTGGGATTGGCCTGTGTGCGAGCACCTTCTCCCAGATGATGGTAGTTCCCTTGCGGAACTGCAACGGCTCCTTGTTGTAGTTGATACCGAACTCTGAAAACAAGATTTCATTCTTGTCCGCTGCCACCGTGAGCTGTGAATGCACCAAACAACCGCATCAGGAGATTATGGCCGTGGAAAACGGGAGGGTAAGAGGAGTGCGAACGCCTCTTACCCTCCCATTTTCATGCAAACAAAACATGCTCTGATAAAAATGCATTGTCTTTGAAACTGATTGGCCTACAAAAGGTATCTATTTTGTGTTTGGGCATCTTAACACCTGTTTTATTGCCAGAAAGGGTAAAAGTATTCTTATTTTTCATACATTGATACTGGCAAAAAAGGTCCCATGATATTTCCGTTACGTTCTTTACATTATATTATTGGTTCTTTCGGTAAAGTCATGTCGAAGGGAAATAATAAAATAATAAAAATAAAATGTTTTCCCTTCTACGTGACTTTACCGAAAGAACCAAGAATATGAATCCCTGCAGGCACGAAAGCTTTAAAACGAAAGTTATTGATATTGTTATTACAATGCTTGTTTACCCAGGTAAGCCTCAACACTTTTTTAGACTACAAAATCCTTGGTAAGCACGGGGGTTGCATTCCTGAAAATTGGCATGTAAAACGAATTCGCTTTAAGCAGGAGTTATTTCCCCATAAGGCATAATGGTAAAGGTAGGGGTGCCATTCCAGCCCATAATTGCATTATTGTTTTTATTTGACAGACCGCTGTTTTACATGTTTATTTTTAATGTGGTGTGCTTATATATTTGCTATACATATGCTATATGTAACAGTAATTTAGATATCAAGTGTGTGAAAGATAGGGCGAGTGAGATGATGCTTCGCATATAAAGATGCCGGAACAAAGACTGAGGAACAGGAAGGTGCCCCGTGTATCACAGCGCACATCAGTGCTACAGGACTAGCTCCCAGCATCACCAAACAACGCTGCCAATACCTACGCCGCTCAGAAAAGTAGTCCGTCACACTCTAGAATCGTATTATAGCAGGCACGGTACGCGTTAAGTGGAAAATGTTCCAATAAAAGAAAAATCGCGTTCAAGCTAAAACATGTAGTGTGAACACCACGCGTTTTAAACGGAGATTTACTGTACTGCCACTTAACCAGAGAACCCAGAAACCCATGCAGAACACGGGAGAGAGAACATATAAACTGCACACAGAAGGCGGCCGATTCAAGACATCAAACCCAGGCCTTTCTGCTGTGAGCAGAGCCATCCTTAAGGGACGGCGAATTGGGGCAGCTGACCCGGGCGCCGCGTTTTTTTTTTTGGGGGGGGCGTGCTTTGATGTCAGTGTTAGATGTAATACTTTCGGTTTATTTTGAAGGTGTCGAAGGAGGGGAGGGGCGCACAGTGTGATTTTCCCAGGCTCCGCACCCCCCTATGGATGGCCCTGACTGTGAGGTAAGAGTGACGGTAGTGGTGGTGGTTCCTTGGCCCTGCGCTTGAACCAGTTGGTTTTGCGGTGGAACACGAAGCTGAACTCGTCGCTCTGTCCGTAGGCCAGGTCGAGGCCATCCAGCTCCATGACCACGTGCGCCGCACAGTGCGCCATGAGGCGCGGCCCGCGGGCGTCGTTGGGCTTCACGAACCCACCGACACAAGCCGCGTCAGTGTCGTCGTTCCGTGCGTGTCTCTCTTCCAGGCTCTCCGGTTTCCTCCCACAGTTAAACATCGAGATAACAAAATCCACGCAGAAAGGCACCCGAGTTTGGGAATCGAACCCAGGCACTTCTTTCTTTGTTCTGCATGGGTTGCTCCTCCGAATTCTTGCGTTTCTTTCAATATCTAAAAAAACTGTAACTGGTGTTGTCCAAATATCCCAATGCTGAAAAATTACAGCTACACCTCGATTTACCAACGATTTACGGTTCACGAAATTGCGTGAACGCAATTGACAAATTACATTTTTTGATTCATAAAATTAAATTTCCGCGTGAACGAAATTTCACTACAGCACGTGCCGTGAGATCA